ATTTCTGCTTTTACTACGAGGTGAATTGCTATTTCTGGACATTGTACATTTCTGGACATTTCGAGTAAAATAATTTTTCGTCGCGTGTAGAGTCAAGTCAATCAGGTTGATGAAGTTTTTTCTTGTTGTAGTTGACAGCTGGGCTGTTGTAGTTTCTCCTCGTGTCGGTGCCTTGTTGATAGCCTTTTCTTGGGAGGCATTTCAACGAGTTTTGTGGTACTATGTCGCATGAGAATTTTGAATTTTGAGTAAAATAAGAAGTAATGGACGAATCGTTGGCTTCCCCATGTGCACTCCACTCCAGACGTTATAGTCTTGGACCTGTTGGCTGGAAGTGTGAAGAGGCCAACTGCAGTCCACCAATAGAAAAAATAACAAAAATGGTGCAGTATAGGATGCTTATTGACGCTATTTTACTTTCATGTCCAGAATTCCATACACTGAAATTTAGGCCAAAAAATTGGCCTGTCGAAAACAACCTGCTATAAAGTCTCTGGGATCACAGCATGAGCAATTGTCACATATTTGGAAAGATGAAGGATTAGGCCATACAATAGATACAAAAAGATATGAAAATGTAAAACACACAGCCAGTGGGCCTCTATTTTATTTTCATGTCCAGAAATTGCTATTCACCTCGTACAGAACTTATTTCATAATTATAGTTACTTGTGCTGCTACTGTTGCGGAAATGGAAATCCGGTCAAATGACGCTGGGCCAGCACCCTCAGTGCGTACAGAACATTGCATGCAGTGCGCACATGTTGATCGCATGTGAACTCGCGGCTGCTTGGCCTCCGACTGGATTTCCAGGTCCACGACAATAGTTTCCCCACTGAGCGACTGTGTATGTCATAGTTTCTGAGTACGACAACAGGTTTCCATTAGCAGGACAATCTTAATTCTATGCATAGGTCTCCATTCTAAGCTTGGAGTTGAGGGGTATTGAACAAGTATGAGTGTGGTGCTTATATTGGAGGAAACACAGTAAGCGATTGCATGTAACAATGAGTGTGTGTGTGTGTGTGGGGGGGGGGGGGGGTGTTTGTGTGTGTGGGTGTGTGGGGGGGGGGGGTGTTTGTGTGTGTGGGTGTGGGGGGGGGGGGGTGTTTGTGTGTGGGTGTGTGTGGGGGGGGGGGGGGGGGGTGTTTGTGTGTGTGTGGGGGGGGGGGGTTGTGTGTGTTTGTGTGTGTGGGGGGGGGGGGGTGTGTGTGTGTGTGTGGGGGGGGGGGGGGGGGGTGTTCCCACACGCGTCCGGGTAAGCCTAGGAGGGTATGTGCATGTGCACTTATTCACTCTCGCATACTTCGATGTGTGCTAATCTTGACCACATTGTCTCTGTCCTGTTCTTATCTCTACACACACACAACACACACACAGGCACAAGAAGCACAGCACTGAGCGTCATGAATTGGACATGCTCTGCGGTGGATCGCAGTCTAGCAGTCAGAACCACTGGGTATCCAGTCATTTAGACAGTTTACCTAACACGGACGCAGCAACGTACGTTGCTTTCCAGCAGATATGTGTAACTGCAGCTGGCTGATGTGTGCCTGTTTCTCTCTCTCTCTCTCTCTCTCTCTCTCTCTCTCTCTCTCTCTCTCTCTCTCTCTCTCTCTCTCTCTCTCTCTCTCTCCTCTCTCTCTCTCTCTCTCTCTCTCTCTCTCTCTCTCTCTCTCTCTCTCTCTCTCTCTCTCTCTCTCTCTCTCTCTCTCTCTCTCTCTCTCTCTCTCTCTCTCTCTCTCTCTCTCTCTCTCTCTCTCTCTCTCTCTCTCTCTCTCTCTCTCTCTCTCTCTCTCTCTCTCTCTCTCTCTCTCTCTCTCTCTCTCTCTCTCTCTCTCTCTCTCTCTCTCTCTCTCTCTCTCTCTCTCTCTCTCTCTCTCTCTCTCTCTCTCTCTTCTCTCTCTCTCTCTCTCTCTCTCTCTCTCTCTCTCTCTCTCTATCTCTATCTTTTATCTATCTATCTATTTCGCTCATGCTCTTGTAGCAGTTGAGCAATCTCGTGTGGGGTAGTGCCTTTGCTGTTTGCGTTATGCAGAGCTCACTGACTTGTCAGTTTGAGCTCTCTGGCAAGGTACATTCGGGCCTGGTTTAAATCTGGCTATGGAAAGTTTATGTTGATTGTTTATGTTGTTTGTTTGTTTATGTTTATGTTTATGTTTCTCTGTCCTCTAATTGTTTGTTATGTTTCACTGCCATCAGGCTCAGCCTCATTTTCTCTGTGCTGCGCTGATTAGTCCACAAGGCATGAAACAGTTCTGTCCGCAGATTGAGTATCTATCTATTTAACTTTTTTTTTCTCTCTATCTCTCCCTCTCTCTCTCTCTCTCTCTCTCTCTCTCTCTCTCTCTCTCTCTCTCTCTCTCTCTCTCTCTCTCTCTCTCTCTCTCTCTCTCTCTCTCTCTCTCACGCACGCACACACACATATGCACACACGCACACACGCACACACGCACACACACACATGAGCACACTTGTCAGCGATATTAAAACTTGGCTTGCTGGCCGCTGTTTTTTGTGTTCTGTGCTCCGTTCAGGAACATCACCAGTCATCAACTACGTTTGTGGTCCATCAACTTTGACGCGTTGCTGCACGACCCAAGGGGATCGCTGGAGTTTGACACCTTCCTGCAGAAGGAGTTTGCCAGCGAGAACATTCAGTACGTACTTCCTGTTCAAAAACCCTAATGACGTTTATTCCTGTAGAAGCCGATATCAGTGCTAAGCTTTTATTCGAATCAGGCTTGTATTCAAATCAGGTATTTCGATGCATATCAACCTAAAACCAGTCTTATGTGTCGGCAGCGCATCTGTTGGCCGAAAAATCTGATTTTTTCCCGGGGGATGCCCCTGCCACTCAATACAAAGCATGTCACGGATGACATAATTGGCTACTGATCACATAGTCTCTGCTGCGTTGGTGATGAAGTGGCCATGCTGTAGGTTTCCTTCTTTAATCTATAATATTGAATGCATTTCATGTCTAGATGGCAGGTTGTTGAATGCTTCAATAGTCTGTCAGTTCCGTGCCTAACGTTAGTTACCACACTTCCTCAATGTACAGTGCTGCTCGGTGAAACCAAGAGTACATGAAAACCAGAGTGTGCAGCTCGGATGGGTTGCTGTCACGGCGAAATTCCGTGATTACATTGTTTTAGTGATGTAGTGCGTACAAGCAGGATTCAAGCAGGTCTCTTTCTGCACAACTGCAGCTCAGTTGTACGCACTACGCCATTTCCCGCCTCAGATCTGCACCAAAATGATGTAATCACGGAATTTCGCCGTGACAGACACCCATAGCAGAGAAGGCCCCAAGCTGCACACTCTGGTTTTCATGTACTCTTGGTGAAACCTAGTCGCGTCAGTCAAGTTTGCTCTGTAGTGATCCTCATGAGACAGGTGGTCGCCTTCTCAGTGAGGCCATCTATTGTAACTTGACAGGTTTTACTATAACTGTACCCAATGTACAGTGCTGTGCTGTGCTGCTAAATGAAATCCAGTCACGTCAGTCAAGTTTGTGCCTTGCACCATTTCGTAGACCATTGTTCACAGGTCTAGGGCTGCGCAACGTCCGGCGCGTACTTGAGTGACACGACTGGATTTCATTGAGCAGCACTGTATATTATCTGGTTACTGTGGTGGACAGTGACCCCTGACTGTGTTATCCATGTGGCGTTTAGTCTTTGCGTTTCATTGACTGCCTATCGTTAACAATTGACTACTTTATCACCGGATCCGTTCTTGATTGGATGCGCCTGTGTCTGCTACTAGCTGTTATCCATGTGGCATTTTACTCTTTACTCAGTCTTTAGTCTTTGCATTTCATTCACTGCCTATCACTAACATTATTGAATTTATCACCGGATCCGTTCCTGACGGGATGCGCCTGTGTCTGCTGTATTCTGTCTTCTCTTTCTGTGCAGGTTCTGGAAGGAGGCGGAGGTGTACCGCAACCTGCCCACGTCACAGCTGGAGGCCAGGGCTGCGCTCCTTTACAAGTAAGTGCACGAGTGTGTGTGTGTGTGTGTGTGTGTGTTGGGTGGGGGGGTGGAGGTAAAAAAATTGGCAGCCTTGCAACATCTGCAGTGGTGTCAATCCAGCTGATAGTTCCACGTCTAGCAGCATGGCCAAGACACCATTTTTGTTCGCGTGATAAGCTGCTCGTAGTGTTTAGTGTCAGCTGTATGTCACTGGTTGTTTGTTGAATACAGTATAATACTATGTATCCACACATTGGCAACCTTGTGACGCCTGATCATCCCTTTCAGCACTCTTAGTACGGTTTGCTCCTGCGACTGACAGCCAGGTCTTCAAGCTCACGCAGCCACCGACGCGTGGACTTTTGTTCGCGCCGTTCCACTCACCGCAGCGTTGTCTCTCGCACAGCCTGCTGCCATCTATTCTCACTCTCCTGCTTCCAACTCGCGCCTTCCTACTGTATTTGACGAGCGGGCCGCTGGTGTGTGACTAAGTTATCGCCCCTGCTCCTACAAAAGTCCTTACATTGGCTGCTCTTGCACTGTTTGGAACAAGGCTCAGTCGACTCGGTAGTGTGCGTTGCATCAGTCAATTGTCCAGTTCTTTGTCCTGTACAATGATCCCTTTATCATCCACCACCATGTTGTGCTAGGCCTGGTTCATGGGAGACTCTGTACTTCTTGAGACCGTCTATTGTAACACAGCTGTCTTCATGCTCTTGTTTGCAGGGAGTTTATCCAGCAGAACTGCTCCTCGCAGATCAACATACCCGCAACTGTCCACCTGGAGATCCGTAAACAGATCGATGCCGGAGCAACACGCTTCATGTATGACGTATCTCAGGTATGTTTACTTGTTTTGCACGCAGGCGTTTGTGCATTTTTTTAGGGGGGGGGGGGGGTGTTGGTCCATCTGTTTGTCCGTCTGTCTGTTGGGAAAGGAGTTGCTTTAAACCTGGAAACTTGTGCGTTGTGCAACTTTTTAAAGTTTTTCAGCGTTTTATAAATTCGGGCACTGTGAGTTAACCGTAAATCAGCTCACACTTCTGCTTAGTACAAACGTGTGTGTGTGTGTGTGTGTGTGTGTGTGTGCTCGTGTGTGTATGTGTGTGCATGTGTATATGCACACGTGCGTGCTTTTTGGGCGGCTACAGCGTCAAGTGTACCATCTGATGAGGAAGGACAGCTATGCCCGATTCCTGCAGTCCCAGCAGTTCAAAGATCTGCAGAAGTCCGTACCGGCGTAAGTGACATGTGTGTGCTAATGCGTGCTCGTGCTCGTGTGTACCTATCCGTGTGCAAAGACAGCGTGCTTTGCTGCTTACGAGGGATTTACGGCTGCACCTGAATAGAGTGAAACCTGTCTAAGGCGACCGCTCAAGGGACCTTCAAAATCTGGTCTCTGTTACCAGGTGGTCTCCTTTTCCAGGGTCATTTGCCTGGAAAAAGCATCCCCTGGTCCTGGTTACAGTGGTCGCCTCGACAGGTTTTCCTGTAGCATGTACAGTCGACTCCACTTATAACGAACTTGCACATCGTGAATTTCATGATATACAGCAAACCAGTGTCCATGTCGCTGTTTGAACCCATGCAAAATTGACCCTTTATAGTGAACAGTTTTCGTTTGTAACAAACCAAATCTTGTAGGGCAGTATGTAAACTGAGTGCAATCATACTGTAAACTGAGTGCTATCATACTGTCATGGGCCACTTGCCAGCCATGACTGCTTGTTTGTATGGTATGAGTGCATTTCTGTTATAACAAACTTCTGTTATAACAAACTTCTGCCAAAAAGAACTAATTCTCCTGCACAATGGTGTTCGTTATATCAGGAGTTGACTGCATTCTATAAATAGTCGCGTGTGCGTAGGTGTGTTCGTATGTGTCCACATGTATGTTGCCGGTATGTGTCACCTCGTGTTCATAGGGCATGCCCGAGTCTTGTTGGTCTTGTTGGCAACAGGCTTAGCACTAGCTGAGGTTGGTTCCTAACACTCAATATATTTTTCACTTGACGGTACGGGCAAGAGTGAACATCTGTATTGCTGTGGCTGTGGTGGGTGTGCGACACGTTTTCCAGCACTTGTACTCAACGTGAGTATAGACCAGACGTATCAATGCCTGTTCCGCAATGATATCTTTCTTTTCTCCGTATGTTTCTTGTGACGGTATGCAGAAGAAGTGGCGGAGGACCGTCGAATCTGTTCCGCAGTTTTCGAATACGCCGTCCCACTGGCCGCCACTCCGCTTCGTCGACAAGGGACATGGCCAGCGGGCACTCTGCCAACACCGATATCAAGCGGGACAAACTGGTAAGTGGTAAGGTCCTGATCAATAGCAACGGAAGAAGCTACAGAGCTTGGCAGTAACAGCAACAGCTACAGAGCTTCACAGTAACAGCTGCAGCAGCAGCAGTTCCAGAGCTTGATAGCAGCAGCAGTAGCAGTATGAGAGCTTGGCAACAGCAGCATTAGTATGAGAGCTGGGCAGCAGTAGCAGTAACAGTTACAGAACTTGTTAGCTGTGCCGTGAGCAATTTACTCTAAAAAAAGCATGCACTCTATTCGGTGGACGGAAACGCGTGACTTCACGCAAGTGCATGACTCACATTCTGTATCCACATACAGAAGCATATGCACGACTCAAAAGTTAAAGTGTGTGGCTGTTTTTGAGTAGCCTGTAGGGTAAAATTGCTGATCAGCATCCAGCCTGGTGGCCGCAGAGTTTCTATTTGGAAAGGATGCTGTGCTGTCTGTCCGCACTTGTCGTACCGGTAGGCTAGCAACCAGTGGAGGCTATGCTCAGTGCACAGACGTATGTGTATGTGTGTGTCTGTGTGTCTGTGTGTGTGTCTGTGTGTGTGTGTGTGTGTGTGCATGTGTGTGTGTGTGTGTGTGTGTGTGTCTGTGTCTGTCTGTGCATACACACACGCGCTTCAGGCCCAAGTCTCCAAGAATGAAGTATTTGATCTGACCACTCGGCTGGCGTTCTCCAAGCAGAGCGGAAAGTCGCCGGAGTCCCCCAGGGCCACATCGCTGTCCTCTTCAACTACTACACGGTAAGCAGAATGGTTGCCATTTATTTATTTATTTATTAATGTGCGCAAGCTCCACTGCAGCCACTTCATTACATGAAACACCCTACACACACCATCCTCAATTCAAGTGGTCTCTTCGCTGCAAATTACAATAACTCAATATGAGCCGAGCCAAGCTAAAAGGTGGCTTAGGCATAATTTTTGGAAATTTCTTTTTTCATGCCAAAGTGATGTCTATATATCCAACTTCCATCATGGAAATTTTGGTGCCCATCTGAAATGTATATGTGCCATAAATATGCATACATTGTGCACATGTCACAGAATGGCTGGTATCAATGACACTAAGGATTCCAAGACCTTCCCAAACTCCAAGAAAACATGGGACACCAAGTAGAGACAAAGCTTAGCAGGTGTGCAAGCAATACAAGAAGAATGGGCACTTGTGTTCTAATTAGAAGATCCAAGAAAGAAGAAATAACAGATCTACATTAAATTTTCATCATGACTCATGTCATTCTATCATGCAATACGAATTTTCATATCATTCAACATGATGTTGTTGTGACTAGATGTTTCGCTGCGTTGGGGAACGTCGCATCTTACCAAGATAGTCCGTCATACTCTCTCCAATCACCTATGCCAGGATGAAGTAATCCTTTCATTTAGCTCGTAGTGCTGTGCCAGAGATCTAGCTCCATTGGTGTACTGCCCTCGCACCTGCATAGGTCCAGTAGACTGCACATCGCTAACAAGCGGCACTGGTTCTTTGTCCGTCCTAGTCCATGTCATTCTCCTTCCCTGCCAAGGATACTGGTAGAAGGCGCCACGGAACAATATGCTAGCAGGTAGAGTCAATGCATCGCTTCGTCGTGTGGCACTATTTCCTTGAAACGAGGAAATTTTGGAATCCAGTACACCATGTCATGAGCACTAAATTGAAGGTAGCCGAAACAAAGTGAAACATCGCAGCAAGAGCCAACTCACCAGGCCGCTTGTCAGAATGATAGTCGGAAGGCTTGTAGACGTCTCCCCATAGCTACACTCACCACTCTAGTCGTGGCCACGATAAGAAACACAGTCACTATGAATGAGCGACTCTTCCTCGTCAAGTAGGTTTTGGCTCACACGGATACAGAATGTCATCCTGCTCACCTCCACAGTCTCTAGAAGCTCCATTACGATCTCTGGCAGCGCTGAGGAATCCCCACAACGATGAAAGAGGGAACACTGAAGAAGACAGTGTTGCTCAAACATAAAAAAGGCTTCTCTCTTCATCCGCTTGCAAACTGGAAAGTGAATATTTTCGCGATCGCGCTCGAGTAGAATTTTGCCAACTGTTTTGGTGATTTTCTCGATTTGTTGGCAAAACACGAAGCCACTTTTTAGCTTGGCGCGGCTCATATGTATTTATTCATTTATTTCTCATTGGCCAAAACATCCTGTGTCGTCTGCATCATTGAGTATTCATTTATTTATTAAGAACTCAGATGGTGAGCCAAGGAAAAAATAATTGTAAGGCCAAACTAAAGAAGGTGTGTGGTTCGACTAACATGGACATTTTTTTTACGGGCGGGCGGGCGGATTTTTTTTTTTTTAATATATTTTTTAGTACATGTAAATACACTGTATACGCGTATCGAGTAGACTCTACTACCAGCACAAGGCAGCAGTCGTACCACTCACTGCACTGCACTGCAGTACAACTACAAGTCAAGTCCAAAAGGAGCCGCCTGCGTCCGCAGACTCACGCCGCACAGCACGTAGACGTGGACGTGTTCAGTCCACGTACGTCAGTCACACGACAGCCCGCCGAAAAAAAGTTACGGTCGGGCTGAAATTGTACGGTCGGTCGGGTGAGTCGAACCACACACCTTCTTTAGTTTGGCCTAACATGGAAATTGTGCGAAATAGAGGTTGCGACTTCAGCGATGATTTTGTTTAGGAATGGGTTTGCTCCCACACTGGAGCTCGCGCTATTCCGCCGCCGACTTGACACTTGACTGACTCACGACTGCCATCCAGAGAACACGAGAAGTCCATCGAACCTTCGACTCGGCAAACCTGCAAGAAAGCACCACTCCCTGCTCAATACACAGTGTTTCGGGGAATTCGCCCTCAAGCTCAACTGATGAGGGGTGAATTCCCCGAAACACTGTGTATTGAGCAGGGAATGGTGCTTTCTTGCAGGTTTGCCGAGTCGAAGGTTCGATGGACTTCTCGTGTTCTCTGGATTGCAGTCGTGAGTCAGTCAAGTGTCAAGTCGTCGGCGGAATAGCGCGAGCTCCAGTGTGGGAGCAAACCCATTCCTAAATGGAAATTGTGGGCACAAGTTATGCGATCGAGTCCACCAACTATTGTGATTGTGCACGTCTGACTGTTCAAAATCTGGCTTAGTTGGTGGACTCAATCGCATAACTTGTGCCTACAATTTCCATGTTACAATTAATTTTTTCATTTATTTATTCACAATCACGTGGCACTAGCCAATGAAAAGGTGATGTGGGCGATAGAGGGGACAACGTGCTCACGTGGATTTGACTGCGATCCGCAGTACAATGGAAATGTCTTGCCCAAACACCAAACCATGGCCGTGTAGTTGGTAAAGTCAAGAGTACAGGAAAGCAAGCGTGTGCGTCTTCTGACTTTTCTGCATGGGTGTGTCTGTCATGGCGAGCTTCCTGGATTACATCATAGGTGGTGTAAATATGGGGGGGGGGGAGTGGTGTAGTGCCTAGCTGCCCTGTCTCTCTCGTACATCATAGTAGGTGGAGATGTGTGTGTGTGTGCGGGGGGAGTGGTGTAGTGCATAGCTGCCCAGTCTCTCCAGTACAGTAGCTCTCTCTCACACTCTCTCTCTCCCTCTCTCTCTCTCTCTCACTCTCTCTCTCTCTCACTCTCTCTCTCTCTCTCTCTCTCTCTCTCTCTCTCACTCTCTCTCTCTCTCTCTCTCTCTTTGCCTATGTTGCCATGGGCATAGCGTCGCAGGAAGATGTCTGCCCATGTGATAATGCTTACTTTGCTACATACACAGTCATGGACTGTGTCAAATTTTTAAACACAGCTAAACTAACGCTCAGTGTAGCAAATGCTTGCCCATGCTTCATGCTGTTGAACGAACCACATGTGTTCACGGGTGAACTGTGAATAGGTGATAGCACGGATAACCAAAGGGTGAATAAGCGAGACTGTGCTCACCTGTGCTGAAGCCGTAGCTTGCTTCCCGTCCTTATCAGCCGACTGTTGAAACTTGTGTGTGCGTGTGTATGTGTATACGTGTGTGCAGCAGGGAGCGTGACTCTCTCCAGAGTGGGACTCACACTCTCTCCAACCCTGTCACTACTAGCGACTCTGTCAAGAGTCCGGACAGCAAGAATCTCATCAAGCACACGTCAGCACCTTCTAGCTACATACTCAGGCCGACGAGCAGAGGTACAAACATTGAATGTACACTTGAATGTACCGTAAAGTCGTGTATAAAGGCCGCCACGGCTTATGTGACTTTTTGGGGGAAATTTTGCAGGCTTCTACATGAGACAGGCTTCTATACAAGACAGGTATTTCTATGTGTGTCAACACTAAAACCAGGCTTGTGTGCCGACAGTGCATCTTGAAAATCAGGCTTCTATTCAAGACAGGCTTCTATATGAGACAGGCTTTAATACAAGACACTACGGTACTATAACTGCATTCCTAGCTCTTCTCTCTCCCTCTATCTATCTATCTATCTTTCTTTCTACTCAATCTCCGGACAGCAAGCTGGTTCGACCTTGTTGGGCCTCATCAGCTGTATCCGTCTTTCTACAGTCTTGCTCAATGAAATCCAGTTGCGGCGCTCAAGTTTGCACCTTGCAGCATGTAGCAGCCCAGTCTTGCTCAATAGAATTCAGTCGTGTCACTCAAGTTTGCACCTTGCAGCATGTCGCAGCCCAGTGTTCGCAGGTCTATGGCTGCGCATTGCGCAATGCCCGGCGCATACTTGAGTGAAGCGACTAGATTTCGTTCACCAGCACTGTAGATCTAAAGGGACTTTGTGGCTATAGTGACCGGCTCAGAGTGTGCATGATGTGTGTGTGTGTGTGTGTGTGTGTGTGTGTGTGTATGTGCGTGTGTGCGTGTGTGTGTGTGTGACAATGCGAACATTTTGATACACATAATAAGCTCTTGGTACGTTTTGGGATAACTGCTAGCGTGTCTGTGTGATTGGGAATTTCTCCCCGGCAATTTGAGTTTTGGATCAACAGGATTTCACCTGTACACGTGCACTTTTGTCCGTTGTCTTACTTGTGTTTACGTATGTGTGTCTGTCTGTCTGTCCATCTGTGTCCTCGCCCATTTACTGGGGTGTGGTGAGCCCATAAGTGGGATCATTTCCAAGTCCACCTATAGTTTGGGGGGTTCAGGGGTGTCGGCTGTTGGGCGGTTCAATATAACCAATTGAGTCATCTTTCCAAGATTCCTTTTGAGTCTCTCTTCCCTCTCCCAGGGGGAGACCCACGTGACCAGTTATGGCAGTGAGCAAGTACAATAGTGTGTGTGTGTGTGTGGGTGGGTGTGTCTGTCTATCTCTGTGTCTGTGTGTGTGTGTCTGTGTGTGTGTCTGTTTGTGTGTGTGTGTGTCTGTCTGTCTGTCTGTGTGTATGTGTTTGTTTGTGTGTGTGTGTCTGTGTGTAATTTTGTTCGGCGGCATTGTAGGTAGTTCCCCAGTCGTCATCAATGGCTTAGTGCAAGAGGAGTACGCTGGAAAGGTAAGAGTGTTTTTTTTTTTTTTAACTCTGTAGAGCGATTTTTCTACACTGTTTTCTGTAGAAGGGCATTTAGTGCCAGAAGTACATGTACCGTAAAGTACCGCCAGAGCGCCCCACCATCTCATCCTTTCGTGGTCGTAATGTGGAGGTGGTCTGCTGTCTATAGGTCATACGACATGAACCTTGTACACATATTGCACGTTTTGCAGTCAATCCGTACCTTCGAGCGGACACAAGCTCCACACAAAAACCTGCCAAATGTGACCTTAGTACACTAAGATTCTCACATCGTACAAACTTCGTTGCACTCTGCCATACGATTTCCCTTCCTCTGGCTGTAAAATCAAGGTGGGGCGCTCTCGCGAGACGGGGCGCTCTGGCGGTACTTTACGGTAGTGGCAAGATGAGCATTGCAAACACCAGTGCATGTGTGCCGGTCATGAAGGCTGCACCGGGAAGGTGGTGGGCACGTGAGAACTAGACATAGCCCGATTTTGCTAGCAATTCTGCTGGCAGAATATCGAAGAATTTTGACGAGAGAATTTGCTGGCAAAACGAAGCAAAATATCGGTCTGTTCGCTGGAAATTGGGAGATTTTACACTTATACGGTGCTTGTGACTCATTTTCGTACATTTTTGCCAACACGTGACTCATTTTTTTCTCATTTTTGCCAACACGTGACCCACTTTCGGTCAGTTTTCCTACACGTGACCCAAATTTGGCCTTGCATTGGAGGAAAAAGGGAGCAAAATATCGAGTGACCTGGCAAAATGAAAGCAAAATATCGACGATGAGCGAGCAAAATTTTGCGGCAAAATATCGAAGTTTCCCTGGCAAAATCGGGCTTTGCCTAGTGAGAACGATACGTGTGGCTTTCTACGGGGTGATGTACTGGCTGCAAGCCTACAGAGCTCGTTTTGTTTGTCCATTTGACAGGGGGTGCGGGTTCGAATCCAGCATTTGACAAGATTCCCCCCCCCCCCAAATATTCACTGTTTCGAAACCGCCTAAAACTCACCCCACAACATTGTGAGAGTCCAAAGAAAAATGCCTGTATTCTAGAACGTTAATGCCTCTGCGTAGCAAATTTCAGATCTCTGCCTCAATCATTGGCCAAGGTATCATGTAAATCTTGTCCGCATATAAAAAAACAATGTGGAAAAAGTGCGTTTAGGAAAGGGGCCGAAAATCCTCATTTTCTGGCCAGGCCCATCTTCTCTGGAAGAATTTGTAACCGAGAGACCGTTTTCGGGTAGTGGTGTATAACTTTGTAAAACACGAACTGTGACTACCGTGGAGTCTGCACACCATTAGGGAGCATGTTGGACTAGGTGGAAGAAGCTGCACTTCCAGTTGTTCATGGAACGACGGAGTGCTTGTACAATGTAGGTTGAGGCAAAGCGGAGAAGGCCACCAACGCCACCCGTATGCGTATCGTATTGTCATCTGCGATGGCCGCTGGACTTTTGAACTGGTTGTTGTTGCCATTGACCAACTGCCCTGACCGCCCTCTTAGCATCGTTTCTGGCAGAAGCTTGATGTTTTGTGTTCAGCAATGTCACAACACGGTTGTCCAGCCACTGAACATACATCACATCGGCATTCCACACGAAGAGTATGTAGCAACGATTTCTGCACCAGCCTAACTGTTTGGTATTCTTCAACGGTACAGGAAACCCAGTACGATCACTATAAGCTATGCCTGTCAGCTGCCATTGTTCTAGCATTGCTTCGGCTAGGGACTGGCTGGTGTCGTAATTTAAAAGACTATCCTTGACTCAGCAGTGGCTGGAACAATGACATGACACGGCCGTGAGTCCCCTGGGCCGGCTTGCTTCTGCCTGCTGACCGGTGTATATCTCAAAAGTTCCAGATGTACTTGGAATCACTTTATCAGACTCTCGCGGAGCCAAGCACTTGATTTTCCACTTGGTGGGCTTGTTTTTGATGTAGACCTTCATGGCATGTCGGCAGCCTTTGAAACTAATCCTGCTCTCATCCAAAGATACTTGTTGCCGGGACAGGTAGATGCCGTGGATGGCTCTTGAAGCAAGTCATACAAAGAGCTGCCCTAGCATCCGCTATCAGCTTGATCCTTGCTACGGAATCACAGCCATGCCAACAAATGCACCAAGAATAGGCAATGAAGAATCCCTTCGAAGCTACTTCAAGTAGAATGGAGTCCTTCATCAGAATCATTATGGAAGCTGGGACACTAGAACTCGGCTAACTGCTACACAAGCCTGGAATCAGCTACAAAGTAAGACGTGACGAGAGTACAGTGATGCAATACGAATTATTGACGTTGTACTACAGAACTGTACTAACAATCGATTTACCCGAGTGTTGCCTTCATGTACATAGCCTATGTATTTACGCCAGTCCCCCAGGTAACACGGGTGCCAATCAATGTCGCGAGCAGGTCAGGTCGTTGGATATTACCACGGTCACGCAGGCTACGATCTACTACAGCCAATTCCACAACTACGAGAAGCACAACAGCCAAACTCAAACAACACAGCAACAAGCAACGAACTGAACAACTAGAGAAGTACAACCAGACAACAGCTAGATGAAAAACGAAGGACGACACGCAGTCGACGGTGCCCGCCACATCAGAACTTCACATCACGTGACATAGTGCGAAAGTTTACGCTGGCACACAGTACAAAGTGACCGCAAGAGAGTTGTACCCAAAGCTGGGTTGCGTACAACCCTGTATCTATCATGCCCAGATTGCAAATAATGTACACGCGTTTGTCACGTGATGTGAAGTTCTGCCGTCGCAGTCGCCACAGCTGGTGCTGCACACTCTTGGGAGTTATGTACTCTTGATGATATGCAGGGACTCGTAGCACTGGTGACTGGAAAGCAAGATTAGTTGGATTTTGCTCCTGGGCTGCCTGTTCCTGGTGCCTTTGGGGCAGGACCGATGTACGCACACTCGCACGTGCCATTGCTGATCTGAGCTGCTGTTGAGCTGAGCAGGTCAAGGCAGCGATGGAGAGTTGAATAGACCAGGGATCACGTAGAACTTCCCAACGTCCACAGACTCGAAACGCATATTGTTTTCGGTACTATGATCGTGTGTGCGTGCGTGCGTGTGTGTGTGTGTGCCATTGTGCATGCCTGTGTCCCGCAGGGCCTATCCAATCTTGTGGACAACCTGACCAATCCGGTCAAGTCTGTGCGCTCGGCACCCGTATCCTCGGCGCCAATCTCCACCATGGCCAGCTCCAACAGCATCGGCCACGCCCAGCAGGCACCGCCACCGTCACAGCTCACCCACACCTCCACCAACAGCAACAACCACTTGCTCTTCTCCCTGCCCATCGAGAGCTTGATGACGACGGACTGCGGCGGGCGTGATGGTGACGTACAAGCAGCCGTGGCATCATCATCCGCAGCAACATCCACAGTATCAGCACCAGCGTCAACAGCACCGGTGGTCGCGGGGGATTCTTCTCGTCGTGTCTCCACCACCACCGCTTGCTCAGTGACGTCACTCGAAGCCAAGGAGTCACACTCGAACACTGAGGGCCGGTGCAGCAGCAGTACCAGCATCAGCACCAGTCCGAGTGCGCGCAGCGGTGCGAGCGTGCCGCGTCTGTCCATCGTCAACGCCAACAACAAGGACCTTCTCCTGCTCAGTGGCACCGATCTACCCGAGGAAGAAGAGGAGGTCGTCAACAGATCAACAGCTAGGTGCTCCATCTCCAGTGCGGGTGCTTCCACTCATAGCTCCAGTGCTGCTTGCTCCTCTGTTATTCCCCAGAGCAGAAGTACAGGTAGGTCTGTTGTCTGTTGTCTGCTGCCACCGCCATTGCTTAAGTGACACCGCCACCACTGCTGCTGCTGCTACCAGCCTTCTTTTGGGCATCTCTCTATCTCTCTATCTGTCTGTCTGTCTCTCTCTATCTTTCTTTATCTATCTATCTTTCTTTCTCCTTCTCTCTCTTTCTCCTTCGCTCTCTCTCTCTCTCTCTCTCTCTCTCTCTCTCTCTCTCTCTTTCTCCTTCTCTCTCTCTCTCTCTCTCTCTCTCTCTCTCTCTCTCTCTCTCTCTCTCTCTCTCTCTCTCTTTCTACTTCTCTCTCTCTCCTTCTCTCTCTCTCTCTCTCTCTCTCTCTCTCTCTCTCTCTCTCTCTCTCTCTCTCTCTCTCTCTCTCTCTCTCTCTTCTCCTTCTCTCAATGCATAACACTTCGGAAGTGCTGAGCTATGCATACATGCATCCTGGCACCAGGCTAGGTTTGCAACTAAGCTGTTACAGTGTACTTGTGGTCTGAGCTTGCACGCTGATCAGCTCTCCGGAATGACAATGTTGTCAAGTGTTGAAGAAAATTGCTACGCAACATTTTCGAATTGCTGTTCAAGTTTGATTTTGTGTAGCAAAATTGCTATGCCAAAAATTACTCAATCTGCGGACAGAACTGTTTCGTCCTTTGTGGACTCATCAGCGCAGCACAGATGGTGCTGAGACCGAACCTGATAACAATGAAAAATAAAATTTCCAAAGCCAGATTTAAACCAGGCCCAAACATACCTTGCCAGAGTGCTCAAACTGACAAGTCGGTATTAAAGCTCTGCACAACGCAAACAGCAAAGGCACTGCCCCACATAAAAGTGCTCGAGTACTACAAGAGTCAAGAGTAAATAAAATAAATGATTCCCTGTCGTTAGTACAACATCGGTTACACGACAAACCTCATTAGTAGACAACCATCTAAAATCCCCTGACACCTGAAACGCGTACATGCAAGTCCGGATAGTAGATATTACTCGTTATAAGATGAACAATTTGAAACCCCCGGTGTTGTCCACTGCCTCACTCCATTATTCACCCCAGTGTCTGGCGATAATGTGGATTTTGTAGAGGAAAAAAAACCTGTACTGTGCTGCATCAGTTTCATTGACTGTATTTCTCTTGTTCCCCATGGTGCTGTTTCTCTCTCTCTCTCTATTTCTCTCTCCCTCTCTCTCTCCCTTTCAGGTAATATCTGCTCCAAGAGTAGTGGTGATCTGTCACCAAGCAACCCTGGCAGGTTCAGAAGACTGCTGCCGAAGAAGCCCACGGCGTCCAATGAGGCGCTGTCCACGGACGAGGAGCGTGACCCAGGACGAGAACGGGTGAGTGCTCTAGTATGTTAGTGAAGAGGTTAAGCTGCACGTTACGTCTTTTGACGCAAACGTTCTGCTCGCGCGTTTGAAAACAACGTGAGAGAGCTGCATCTCACGTCGAATGCACGCCGAATTTCGACCCATTTGACACGTGAAATAGCGCGTCAGGTCGAAATAATGTGCGCTGATTAACCTCTGTGATGTCCACAGCATCTCTCTCTCTCTCTCTCTCTCTCTCTCTCTCTCCACTGTACCGAGGACGCCGCTCGATCACAACTACTTGCACAGACAGTGTATACCCTAGGCTAGTGCTTTACCTCTGAGCAGCATTTTACTTACAGTGAACTGTGCGTACAACGACACTAGGCGGGGCATCAGAAAAGTGTCCTTATGCCCGAAGTCTCATTGTATGTTTTACATCTAGATTTGGACTTTGCTCTGGGCATGGAAATGCTGTCGTTATTCGCGAATTGTCGTTATATCCGCTGTCGTTACTAGCAAATTTGACTGTATGTACAATTTCTACAGTCCTGCTGGATGAAATCCGATCGCATGAGCGTGAGTTGCGCCTCCAACCAGCAGAACATCCCAGTGTCCGCAGGTCTTGGGCTGCATTGCGCCCGACGGGCAACCTGGGCAGGTCATACAGCATTCGTTCTGCCACGTGTGGATGGACGTGCTAGCTAAACCTCGATTGTGGCTTTGTTTCAACACGTGTTGTGTATGTGTCGGCGTGTGTGTGTGTGTGTGTGTGCGCACGCGCATGTGTGTGTGTGCGCACGCACGTGTCTATGTGTGTGTGCGTGTGGGGGGTATGTGTGTGTACACGGATGTGTCTGTGTGTGTATGTGCACGCGTGCGTGCTCATCTTTCCTTACAGCCTAACTCTGAGTCGTCAATGTTCAAGTTTACTAATCGTTTCTCGTCACGAAGGAGCAGCTGGGGCCCTTCTCGAAATCACTCGCATCGTGGAAGGCACAGTGGAGGAGAGTCTTCTGCTCGCTCAGCCTCTCCTTTCCAGAGCCTTGCTCAGCGGTGAGACTTACCACCTTGTACACATGTACACATGCATGTACAGGGCTCTAGCCAAAGAAGGGTAGAGAGGGGGGGGGGGGCCACAGCGCACACACACACACACACACACACACACGGGCACAATAAGCACAGCAGAGAGAGAGAGAGAGAGAGAGAGAGAGAGAGAGAGAGAGAGAGAGAGAGAGAGAGAGAGAGAGAGAGAGAGAGAGAGAGAGAGAGAGAATGCGACAGAACAGCAGCTAAAATTAGTGAAAAAAGTCACGAAGTTTTTGTTTCCGGAGGAAGTATCTTTATCTTTCTCTCTCTCTGTCTCTCTGTCTCTCTCTCTCTCTCTCTCTCTCTCTCTCTCTCTCTCTCTCTCTCACACACACACACGCGCGCGTACATTTTGGCCTCTTAATGGTGTGTTACTCCATGCCATTGGTAGCAATATGAGATCAGGGTGTGTAGGTGGTGGTGGTGGTGGTGGTGGTGGTGGTGGTGGTTGTGGTTGTTAGGGTTTGTGTGTGCATGATTGGATGCTTGTATAATATCTGTCTTTCCCACCTGTGTGTGTGTGGGTGTGTGTGGGTGTATGCGTGTTGCTACTGTGTGTGTATATGTGAATGTCTATGTGCATATGTCCACACGTACAGGCTGGGTCTAAGCGGCGGCAGTGGTGGCAGCGGGACAGGCCCAAGCAGCAGTGCCAGTGGCACACCCTGTCCCACCATACTGGACCGTGGCCCACAATCGGACGAGTCCACGACGGACAATGCTGCTGCTACGGCTGCTGCTCCTAGCAGTGCCCCGGCTGCAGCATCAGCAGCAGCGCCTGTAAGATCCTCCGCAGCAGCGGCCAGTGAAACACCTGGCGTAAGTGCAGACCAACCTAGCGCAGAGCTAACCAACACCGAGCCCTTGCGACGCCATGCAATGTGCGATGATGATCCATCGAATCCAGAGGAGGCGCAGTTGGACTCGTCCTCCTCCGCATTCCGTCCAGCTTTGCGCAGGAGAACTATGAAGGTATGGTGTCTTCTTTGTTCCCGGTGTGTTTATCTGGCCTTTTTTTGCAGAGGGGTGGGTTCTGGATGATTTGTTTGCATTTGCGACGTGGCTAAACATGGCCACCATATCATCGTCATGTTGAATTGCACGCCATTGCGCTGGACATGCAGAGTACTAGTACTACTACTGTTGTGAACCGTGAAATCCGTTGAGAATTCAAGTGGCTGCGGAGCGTTGGCCTTGCAGCCGCGAGCACTGCTGGTCCATGTTGGCAGTGTGTATGTGAGCTACAGTGCATGTACGCGCTAAAAGGAGTAAGGGCACCGGTCCCGCTCATGCCATCGGATTTCAATCAGTCCACGGCAGTGGTGGTTTAGGTTGACTTTGAGCTTCACGTAGTTCCGAATGATTTCCTGCAACTTGGCCATGTATATGCAGCAGGTGACTTCACTGAATGCTATTCATAACGGTGTTTGTTCCGTTTCTCCGTGTGTTGCGGATGTAACTGTTAATTTGACCTATTTGTCTCTCTCTCTCTCTCTCTCTCTCTCTCTCTCTCTCTCTCTCTCTCTCTCTCTCTCTCTCTCTCTCTCTGTATCATTCTCCATCTAAATTCCAATTTCTTGTGACTGTGTGTGTGTGTGTCTGTCTGTCTGTGTGCCTGATCCTGTTTTCCGTACAGCATTTGTTTGGCTGAGGAGCATGCTCTTTCAAACAGCAGGTGCACTATGACTCTCTCTCTCTCGCTCTCTCTCTCTCTCCACTGTGTACATTTGTAATCAATCCACCGTTCCTCTTCACCCACCATCACCAGCAGCAGCAGCAGTAAGGACATGTGCCGTCACAGCACTGCCTCGCCATACTCTCCTCTCTGCACACGTAACACACGTCACTTTGTAGTCCGTTTGATGTTCCAAGCGCTCCCCGTCGTGTCGTCATGCTACCAGCAGCACGCGTCTGTTTCATGTGCTCGTCATGAGAGTGTGTCTGTGTTCCTGTGTTCAGCAGCCTTGCACACAGTCCTGTGTGTGTGCTGCTTGTACTTGTGTGTTCAGCAATGGCAGTTGTTTGGCGTGTGCTATAGCCAGTCAGATGCACCCAATTCCAATGGTACGATGCTGACTGCGGAATGCCGTGTCGATTCATGTGCAACGGTTCATCCAACGGTTGCTGGGTGAAGTTTGTCAGTTGCCGGTTTTCCGATCTCTGTCTCCTCATACTCGACGTCCCGCTGTTTCCCATGTGAGTGTAGCTACTCTGTGTGAGGTGTGTGTGTGTGTGTGTGTGTGTGTGTGTGTGTGTGTGTGTGAGTGAGTGAGTGTAGCTACTCGTTTGTTGTGCTCGTTTGTTGTGCTCCGTTGCCAGTGTCACCAGTACAGTGCTGTTGGTGCATGTGACATGTGTGTGTCCCTCTCAGTTACCAGTTGCACCATTACGGTACTATGTCGATGGTTAGCGTGACGTGCGGATTCCGCTCAGTTCCCTGTTCCATCGCTCTATTGGATTGAGTCCTTTGCAGCAGTAACGTTGACGATAGTAAATAGCTTGCCGTGTCGTGTTCCAAACCCGTCCTGCTTGGGACCTGTTATCATACCTGCACTACCAACTCTCAATGAACATGGACTCCTTTGTTTCTAACTGATCAACCAGCCTGCTCTAGCCAGCCATCTGTCCCAGTCAGTGGTTGCTACCTGCACTAGCAACACTCAATGAGCATGGACACCTTCGGGGGTTTTTCCAACTGATCCAGCCTGCTCTAGCCAGTCGTATGTCACAGTCAGTGGCTGCTGCTGCTGCTGCTGCTTGTTCTCACCGTCTTCTTCTCCGCCGGACTCACCACCGTAATATTGTACCTGACATTCCGGTCTAGTTCCGACTCCCTTCCGCTACCGCTGCTGCTTGATATTGCAGACACACCCAACGACCTTTTTTTCTTGCAATTTTGCTCACATTCGAGCATTAGAGTGTGCCATTACGCGTGTACAGGCGTGTGGTGCGGCGGCCAAACCGACTTATCAACCTTTCCCAGCTGTGCTTTCCGGTGCTGCCCCGGGAGCCATATATATATATATAGAAACGACCAGGCAGCAGAAAAACGTCTTGTGCGTGTGTGCGTGTATGTTCCAATGGCTTTATCCCAATCGTGACTTCTCTTTCTAGCTACAAGGGACCGACTTTCCTCTCCTCTCATAGACCAAACCCTGTGTTTTGTTCACTTTGTTTCTAGTAGACGTGCTAGAGTAACGCATAGGTAGACCGTGTTGTGTTTTTTTCTTGCGCTTCTTCTTCTTAAAGTGAGGAGAAGAGGAGGAGTGATTGTTACTTCTTCTTCTTCTTCTTCTTTTTTTACGCGTTCTATAGAATTTTCGTTTTTGGTCCGAATCCGCCCACCGGCCTTTGCTGGCTCTGGTGTGGTGTGTAGTTTGTTCTCGTATCCGTGTATCCGTGTGTGGTGTTGTTGCATGCAGTAGTAGTAGTACAGTTGTCCGTCTAATAATATTCCTCGCGTTTGCCAGCAGAGTCCTTTTCCTTTTTTTTCTTTTTTTGTTGTTGCACGTAATCATTCCTGCCACTTTTGTCTTCTGCCGTCTCTCTCTCTCTCTCTCTCTCTCTCTCTTTATGTTGTTGCGTTTGTTCTTCTCTTGTTTAAGAAGCTAACTTAGTAGTGTGTGTTGATAGTACAAGCATGCCGTGTCATGCCTGTCAGACGTAGAGTACCGGTATTATAGTTAGAAGCATCTGAACCAGTCATACGGATGATAACGTTAAACCACTTATTATTATTATGTTCACATTTTGCTTCCGATTTGGTTGCATTTTAATTTTATCTTGATTTTTGTCCATGCATGCACCGACTCCACTGGCGGATTTGTTTATTCCGTCCGTATCTACCCGCTCCTAGTGTGAAGCATCCCTCCGCGCCGTCTTCCCGTGTACAATATGCGCCGCCGCTCTGCCATAGTCCGCAAGCGTTGTTCCCCCAGTCCGCCCGCACGCACACATTGTCCCGACTCTCACATGCCCGGTCGTCCCCGACAACGCTTCATCCCGCAACACGGTGGCCATGCCTAGCCACCGATGCTGCTGCTGTCCTTTCTGTTGATTTCTGCAGTCGCTTCTGACTTCATTGTTTTAACCTGTATCATCACTCTTCGTCTAACCGCTATTCCGTTTGTTTTCATACTCATCCTATACACACCAACACCACATTCCTCTGTTTACAAACAGCCAAATTAACACAACCGATACGCATACGGTGGTTGACGTGAGCAGGATGATATGTTTACTAGAAAGAGTCCATAATCCCCGGAGTGCACAACTGGGATGGGGTCCGTGATGTACGTCATTTTTTGGGTCGGACTTGCGTCATTCCGTCAACCCAAACAGTCACACTTCCCCTACTCATGATTCACTCTCCGACGTGCAACACGGATTCCGCCGTCCCAGATCTGAACATGCAGTGAAGTAATAGTTGAGAAACTCTGCGGGTTATGGACTCTTGGTACACTGTACTAGTATTACTCTGGACTGATCCGCATGGTTGAAGTGAGCAGCATCGTGTAGATCTCTACCATGGTGTACTGCTGCTGCATGGGTTTCATGTTCGCAACACTGCATGAAACCAAGACTGTGCAGGACTGTGCAGGACTTTGAAAACTCTGCATGGGTGTCTCTCGCGGCGAAATTCCGTGTTTACATTATCATAGTCGGTGCAGATCCGACGCGGAAAGTGGCGTAGTGCGTACAACTGAGCTGCAGTTGTGCAGAAAGAGACCTGCTTGAATCTTCACTAAAAATGATCTACAGTGTAGTCCCGGAATTTCGCCGTGACAGCAATCGACCGGAATTTCGCCGTGACAGCCATCGATGGGAGCTGCACACTCCCAGTGTTCATGTGCTCTCTTCAGGTTTGCAATCCGGCGGGTACTCGGGTAGTCGCAGTGCTATTGCTACCGTTGGCCTTGTGTGTGTGTGGGGGGGGGGGGGGGCAGCTGGGGATTTTTCAGTTCAAGTCGCAGCAAAAATCATTAATATTGGTCTACGGCAGCGCAAAAGCTAACATTGTCAATTGCACTAGGAATAAAATTCAATCTCTACAATGAAAGACATCTTGATAAGTCAGATCTCGGTACCCAGAGCAACCAAGAAACACTAAAACACGTAATAATAATTATTATTATTATCTATAGGCATGGATTTGATCATCGTGTCTGTGTCAGCAGCAGCCACCAAACAGCCCGGCCACCAAACAGCCCGGCGCAGCTACAAGTGGCGGTCGATCCACAGCTGCTGCCTGGCCCAGTGTGATACGAGAGGTAAAGCGAAGACACCACACACACAGCAGCAGCAGCAGCTACATTGCAATGATTGCAGCAAGCACTGCTGAAGCTGAGGGAGAAGCTTATCCGCGCTGTGCACGCCAAGGCAGAGCTATGCTGCGCTAAGCCGACACACAGCTCGACAAGTACATGCACACGCACACACGGGCGCTGGCGTGCGTGTGTGCGTGCAAACGTATAGACTCCATATCTACTAGTACTGGAGCATCACAATATCCACAGCTGTCTACAGCTCCTCTTTTGCTGGCATTTCCTCGGCCTCCGCTGCCGCCTGCTCTGCTTCAGCCAGGATTTCCTTCTCTTCCTCCGTCTCCTCAAGAGGAAGATCCTCTTCATCTGAAGATAGAATATAATTTCAGCACACATGTACACGCACACACGAACACACAAGCGCACGCATGCACACACACACACACAAACACACACACACACACATACTGATGGTGGTCATCGGGAGCACTTAGGCTACAGGGGCAAGTGGCCGGGGTGGTTCCATGCTATTATTTTTATACTTTCAAATCCAAAAGGAAAATTCATGTTTTCATGGGAAATTTCCCTCTACACGATCGTACCATGCAATCCTAGATGTAAGCTTGAACCAAGAGTATAGTACATAGGCCAGAGTGGGAAACTCAGGGAGAAGGAGCCCAGGAAAGAGCACACCCACCAACACCCAGACATACACACACACATGCACACACACACGCACGCACACACACACAAGCACACGCACACACACACACACACACGTCCTGCTCGTATCGGCGTTCACACGTACCTTCGGCCTCAAAGTCGGCTGGCTCTGGCTTTGGCTTGGCTGGTACTGGGAACGGGTGATCGGGTCTTCCACCGTCACGTCCACCACCCTCGGCAAACACAAGTAGCGCCTCCAGCTCACGCTTTCCGGTGTATTTGATAGGCTGAGGCAGTAGGTGGTGGTGGGTGGTGGGGAAAGAGGAAAGAAGACATTAGAAGGTGAGAGAAGAAGAAGACAGAAGAACAAAAGTGAGAAGAAGAAAGAAGCCACTGAGGAACATAGCGAACACAACGGTGGACATGTTGAGTGCTCCAGTATCTCTGTAACAAGTTGACAGTCGTGTATCCAGTGGTTTAAGCATCTTTGCTATACGTGACTGCATTCCTGTAGAAAGTGATTATGACATGTGGACAGTGGAACCAACATGGCCGACGTCATGTGACCCATAGATGCAGGGGTTGGGTGCCGTGAGTGGAGTTTGGAACCAACATGGCTGTCCTGTATGGTCATGTTTTGGATGTGAACTGCTATATACATAGGCACACGCACACACACACACGCACACACACACACACACGCACACACACACACACACACACACACGCACGCACACAAACAAACACACACACATGTGCACACACACACACACACACAGCCTTCACTTACCCTAGATTTGCCATTGGGAAGGAAATAGTAGATGGTTGGGAAGCTCTCGATTTTCAAACCCTCCACTTCGTTTGCGGTGGCATCCATCTTACCAACGACATGGTCATCACGACCATCAAAATACTCTCCAACTTCGTCCCACACCGGCATCAGTTTCTTACAGTGTCCACACCATGGTGCATCTGTAATCAACACAATCACATGACCACTGGAATGACATCATCGCCCACCATTGCAATAACCATGATGACATCACTGTCCACCAAGACAATCACCATGATGACATTATTGACCACCATGGCAATAGATATGATGACATCATTGACCACCAGGACAATCATCATGATGACATCATTGACCACTATGGGAGAAAACTCCAATGACCAGTAATTCCGCGACGTTCGCGATGGACATCATAATTATAATCAATTTCATTCATAATTCTAACATTCGCTTGTGTCATGCCGTTCTGAAATCGCAAGCTAAAAACGTCAGAAACCCCTTCCCCGCTCTAAAGTATGGGCAGTGAGGGCTGAACTTACAAAATTGGATGAGCGCATGCTTCTCGTTATTGATGATAACGTCGTTGAAGTTCTTGCCGACGATTTGCTTGACAGGCTTGGCGTCCCAATCCTCCGGGATCTCCTCGGATTTCAACGATTGCTGCAGCAGTACACAGTACAAAGTGGTGTAGAATCAACATGCTTACTTCAACATGCTTACTGTACTTCAAAGTACACATACATGCAACACCTCTCCGTGCAGTGCTGTCGGCTGCCGAAGAATGATGCGCTGAACACGGAACAGGCCGAGTGGGATTCTACCAAGCACAGATTACCAATACAGTAAAACCTGGTGTAAGCGACCTCTGAGTTTAGCGACCACCTGCTCTTAACGACCGTTTTTCCATGCATCGACAGTGCTACACAGACACTGTGGGACCTGGTTCTAAAGACCACCTGGCTTTAACGACCGCTTTTGCTTGCACCGTCCGGGGGTGGTCTCTTAAACCAGGTTGTACTGTACCTGCATGTGCACAGTGAATTTAAATAAAGCTACAATAGATACTCTCAATAGGACGCACTTGCGCTGGTTAGCTTTATGCTTTGCCCGCTACTTCTGGTAGTCTGAGCACTCTCAGCGCTAGTACATTGAGCTGTCCTAAAGTCTGTGGTTTTCGTAGCCATGGCTGACAGTTCAATCCTATTTTAAGCTCGGAGTTGCACTGATGAGGCCTCAATGGCCGAAACAGTCTGGCTGTCTGCATCATTGTGTAATTAAAACTACACGTGTATACTGTAGTGCGTGAGTGAGAGAGATGGGGAGAGAGATGGGGAGAGAGATGGGGAGAGAGATGGGGAGAGAGATGGGGAGAGAGATGGGGAGAGAGATGGGGAGAGAGATGGGGAAGAGAGTGTGTGCATGTGTGTTGGTGCATGCGTGATTGACCCGGCCTGTCCCAGAATGAGATCACACTAGTCAACACACACCACCCGACCTGTCCCAGAATGAGATCACACTAGTCAACACACACACGCCACCAGTTTGCTGCTGCCAACACCGTTACCAGCATTACCTTGATTGAACCGTCATTGACGCCTTCAATGAACGGAGCGATGACATCAGCGGTGATCTCGCCAGTCTCTGGCTGATACTTCTTCATGTCACGCGCTGCCAGCTCAATGATACGCACGGCAGGAACCTGCAGGCAAAACCATAGCAATGTGTGCGTGCATGCACGCCTCCATTGGTTAAAGGGAAAATTCACCCTACTTAAAAAAAAACTAAAAGTAAAACCCTGATAAACCCAAATCAGATATGTTTGATATTGGGACACAAGCAGAGTTGAATGGTGTTTGTCTCGCCTTCTTCCAATGGCTGGGACCGTGGGTAGACACAACTGAAATATTCAAATATCACTTTTACCCGGTGTTGGCGTCGCCATGGCAACATGGAGCCATGGCGACATGGACTCAAGTCGTCAAGGAGATCAATGAGCTCATGCAGCTCCGAACTTCTACTTGCACCAAAGTCAAAATTAATAGGAAAGAAAGTGACGTTGTGCGTGTACTAGGCGGAAGCAGTACCACCGTATGAGCGGAGACGATTCAGACTGTAGGTCAAGGAGATACATTGACGACAGGGAGAGTGGGCTGGACAGTGTGGACACCCCAGTGATAATGTCCTGGCATACGCGGAAAAGAGGCAGAGTACACCGAGGACCGGGAGATGGTGAGTGCGGAGCAAGTAGTCTCTCTTAGGCTTTAGGTCTAGTCCCATGTCATGAGACGACCGTGGCTCCGAGGAGAGCAAGTTGGACGCTAGTGATGATGTCCTGGCCCACGCATAGGAGCCTGAGTGTATTGAGGTCAGTAGGAGGTGATGAGCACACTCAGCAAGTGGGTGTAAATGCTGACGAAGCTACAGCGTCCGCTGCCGAAATTACAGACCCTGCTGCTTGCTTAGAGGACTGCTGGCCACGCGCCAATCGCGTTGGCAATACGTCCTGGTGTGAATGTGGCAAATGTGTGGTTCAAGCATTGCAGAACAATTGCACTTGCTGCGAAGGTATTCCGGAATCCGCAGTGATTGGCAAGTCGGGCTGCATTACTTGCACCCCGCAGTTCGACAGTCTTTCCGCTGCAATAGGTGTTCTAGTACTTATACACTCCATGCACAAGGCTCTCAATGTCCCATCGCTCACCCCGGGGAAGGCCCGTAGCAAGCAGCACGCACTGTACATGTATCTATCGCACCGCACGGCTACTTGGGAAGCAGCGAACTCATCGCCGATCCCAATCTACACACAAATTGGCGCTGCGAGCAGAGTCTGTGTCTCCTGTTCTGTATTCCTAAAATAGCAGGGATACTTTAGGATCTATACCTATCCACATGAATAGATATAGTATGGAGACGACGGCCAGTGGTGTGCCTGGCAAGGGACAGTCCTCAGAAGAGAGCTGCAGGCCGATCACTCTGTTACTGTTGTGTATATTAACACAAAAACATTCACATATCACAACGGCCACCAAGTTTCGAAGGTTCATATGTACACAGGAGCAGATAACGAAGTTTCTGACAGCAACGGTGGCTGATGTTTTGACTACGTCTCCAAGACAACTGTGTGGCGATGCTGCTGAGAGATTGACCAGCCATTTAGTCACAGCAAAAGCAAACAATGGCATTCTACAGATTCGGCAATCTGCCCAGGGGCCTCCACAGACCTTTACGTGCACAACACAAGGACGCGTCGGAAGCGATGCTGCCTCGACGTGTACAGTACAGCGGCGTAGTGCATCTGAACTCCAACAACACAAAACAACAGTGTGTGGTAGTGCTAGCGTCTATCCACATGCGTCTTGGAACAGATGTGTTTCCCGGTATCCATCACGCACACTGCGGCGCGACCTACAATTCACCTTCCTCTCCCTACACAGTTTTAGATGACAGTCCTGTTGCGTAACTGTTGCTCCCGTTGCGCAACTGTTGTTCGTGTTGTGTAACTGTTGCTCGCTCCTTAGATCCACTTTTTCTCCCACACTGTTTCTAGTCCTGTTGTCCTACTGCTTTCCCTACCCTCAACCCCAGCCAAGCTCCGCTCTCTGCCCTGTAGAACCCCATGCTTCTCTTTCCGTTCTGTGTGGAATTGTGAAGTAAAGAGATATGAAGACCTAAGAGCTTGTATTCCTCTGCTAGTGCTGCCGGCTTGTGACACTTTCTGGTGTAAGTCCAACGCGCTTCAGACACGTGCAAGTTGGTAGACACTACACTAGTTCCTCACAAGCTCTGGATGCCGCGGAGCTACGCGGGCAAGGAACCGTCCCTCTGGCCAAAAGCCGGTGCACCGAAGGCTGGGATACACTGACTCTAGTACCCAGCCGGCGAACATGCATGAAAGGTTCGGATATACCGCCTCGCGCTGACACGGCTAATCTATGCCAGGCCTCGGAAATCACCGCCAGCCAAGATGGGCACGCAAGTCCTCTCCAGCAAGGAAAGCTCAGAGCTTGCGCCGGAGCATGGCAAGGCAAGGAGCGTTGTGTTTCAGCCCGGTGAGCGTGTCTGAGTGTTGATACCTGCCATCCCTGTCCCCTTTCAGTTGTTAGCCGCCTCAGTTCGCTGCTTTAGTAAGCGCTTGGACAGTGCTTTTGGAATGGAATAGAAATCCTGTTACAAAAAAGAGTGTTTCTTCTCCTTTTTTACATTAATTTTATCACTGGCTCAGTAGCCGAGAAATCCTGCTATGGGGTCATCATACGTGTTATCGCAACTGCTAGAAACGTCTTTGCAATGCAAGAACATTTTCTTAGGCGCCACAACGTTGTCACTGCTCTGACTGCCAAAGCGCCGAATTTAAAATAAGGACTTGTTCGCTGCGGCTTCAATCACCACTGTATCGGACTTGAAAAGTAATGGTATGAAAGACCTAATTTTTTTCACGGTTCGCGTGAGACTCGGCTGGAAGCCGGACGTTCCGCATCTGTAGGAAGGCCACCACCCTTCAAGGATCAAGGCGCAGATGCAGCTCCTAAAGCGGTGGCCCTAGACCTAGTCGAAACTATAAATATGGCGTCTGTGCTTCGAGTGTTAGTAAGCTTGCCCGTCCAACCAAGAATCTATTCATTACAAGCACAGCACGGTGGTCCGGTCTCGTTTCTCTCGGTGCTGCGCTGATGAGTCCACAAAGGACGAAACAGTTCTGTCCCCGCAGATTGACTACAAGCCCATGTAGTACCTGATGGCTGGATTGCAAAGACATTTCTATCAGTTTGAACAACACGCATGATAACCTTGTACCCGAAAGCTGTGCAGAGTACGGTTGGTAACAGTTGCCCCACGCCATGCCATCTCTACTTCGGCCATCCGAATAGGCTTGCCGTATACGTACGATGACGTCAAACGTCAACTAATGAAAACTTGTGCCAGGATCAATTTGGTTCAACTCTGACGATAGCAAAGCTACAGTATCGACGCGGAATGGGCGCAGGTACATGCACCCCCCCCCCCCCCGGTGCAGGTACATGCCCCCCCCCCCCCTGGTGCAGGTACACCCCCAAAAAAGGGGCACCAGCTATGCCCTTGTGTGTTTCATGCTGACGGTCTGGCTTTTTCTGCACCAGAGGTGGGTTCTCAGACAGGAGCTAGGGCCTAGTGCAGTCACTTGCGGCAGATGTGTCACCCTACTAACATACTACTACTAATACAGTGAATCCTGTCAAGGCGACCACCTGTCCTCAGAGAAAACCTCTACAACTACCGGCAGGGTCTAGGACCAAGGGATGTTATTCTCAGTGAAATGACACTGGATAAGGAGACCACATGTTCACGGAGGCTACAGCTGGATCTGGAAGGTCCCTTCAAAGTGGTCGACTTAGACAGGGTTCAATGTACTGTGAAGGTATTAAACCACCCAAACACCACCTGTTGGAAGGGTGCTGTCCCACAAGCAAGCGCGTGCGTGTGTGCTGCGGCACGTTTCAAAACAAGCACAAATGACTCGAGTACTCGAACAGAGTGTAGTGTGCCTTGAGTGAACACAGCTGTAAACCACTGTCTCCCGCGGCTCCGTGAATGCACTGACTGTGCGTGTGCTGTGCAGATGTGCGCAACACACAGACCACACAGGCACACATGGACAGGAACAGCAGCAGTGCAAAGTGCTCCACGTGATCTACAACACTCGAAAACAACAGAATAACTACTATCGCTAAAAGCAAGAGTACATAACCCCCCCCCCCCCCCCAAGAGTGAGCAACGCCTGATCCAGCTCTGCATAGGGTCTTGGTCGAGCGTAATCGGATCTTCTGATGTCATGCGTACACTCCACACCAGCGTAAGGCCGGTCTCCAGGCAGGGTGTCGTTGCTTTTGATCCGAGAGTACCCACGACTCCCCAGGTTCCCCTCAGATGTGTACGGTATTATGACGCAAAGATCCGATTACGCTCGACCAAGACCCTATGCAGAGCTGCACACTCTCGAGAGTTATGTACTCTTGCTAAGGAGTTTTCGAGTCGTGGTCGTGACAGTCAATTTTCTTCAAACGTTTCCTGTTTTCAACTCCCTCCACCGAATGAGCATACGGAGATTATTCGATTTCGCATCGCCCTAGGCTGCTCTCCCTCAAACGTCTTCCAGTGTACTGGAACAACACATGGTAAGATGTAATGGGCTGGTATGCCAAACCCGCTAAATCCAGTTCATCACTTTTCGGATAATGGCCAAAAAGATAGATTTTGTGTGCTGTTTGTATCTAAATCCATATTTGGGTTCCAGTTTAGAAAAGGTAACTGGTTCTGGTCAAATTTTAAACGTGAAACTTTGTCTGGTGATGCCCCTAGACCCTTTGATTACAAGCAATGTGCAATCATGTTACAGCAACTTACTGAGGTGTTGGACAAGCCAAACACGTCGAGGATCTTGACATTCTCCTCCTCATCCGTATTGAACGTGACAAACAACATCTGTACACACACACACGTGCACACATACACACACACACACACACACACACACACACACACACACACACACACACACACGTGCACGCATACACATACACCCGCTTACACACACACACACACACACACACACACACACACACGCACACGCACACGCACACGCACACACACACACATACACATAGAGTTAAAGTGCCGGTGTTACAGCAAACACAACACGTACGAGTATATGCAGACCAAACACAGGGTCCAGTCATCAAAATTACTCGGCACAAGTGTACCTAAACAGAGGTGGTGACCCCAGCGACAATGTAGGAATCGTACGCTACCAGATGTATACGTTCTTTGAAGTACATATACCTGGCGAAGACAAAGTTAAATCTTGTCACTTGCCGATCAGCTTACCTCTCCTTTGTGTTTCTTAGCCTGTTCCAGTAGCACTGCCACATGAGACTCGTAGTCCTCTGACTGCTTGGAACCAAAGTAGAGGAACTGACGCTTGGTGACGCCGCTGAAGATCTTGGCAGCGTTCTAGAGAGAAGCAAAGGCAGAGAACGAGTGCAAATGTGTCAGCCAGGATCAAAGAAAGCTACAGAAATGACAAAGGAAGCCGGGGAAAGGTTACACAAACATAATAATTATGCACATGCATGTGTACATACACATATGCACACACACGCACACACACACGCACACACACACACACACACACACACACACACACACACACACACACACACACAGGCGACGACGACGAGGACGACGACGACAACAGCAACAATAACAACCTCTTATTGGCCACTTGCTATAGTGAGAATAAAGATTTCAAACAACAACAGCAGCAGCAGGATCAGCAGCAGCAACAACGGCTACTCACATCTTGCGAGAATTCGATGACATAGGGCATGGAGCTTAGGCGTGCAAACGCTGAGATAGCCTCTGCCGTATAGTTGTCTTGATCATATTGCACCTGTGGCTCATCAAACGTACGCACCGCCACAATACCAAACTCAGACTCAATCCCGTACTCCTTGGCTACGTCGCTCGTACCTGTCAAGCCGTAGCGCAAATCGTCAGGAGCTGAAGATACGTAGAAATATACGCACACACGAGCGTGCACGCACACACACACACACACACACACACACACACACACACACACACACACACGTGCACACAAACACGTACAGGGGTTGACTGACAGGCTAACTGACGCACTGATACGGGTGTTTATAGAGATTGGCTGTGTGAGCTCATGTAGAGGGGACGGTTTCAAATAGGACATAGGTTGCAAACCGGAACGGACTCAATATTCACTTTCTCTCTTGGTATTTTTATTAGAAAACATATGTCACAGTGAGACTACGATGTGTTATACTCCGAGCCAAAATTTCATGGCTCTGCGATGACCAGAAGCGCCATATCAAGCAGGTGAGTTTTTGACGTGTTGCTTCGCACTGCGACTTGAGTTTTACGACTTTCGAAAAATCAACTTCTTGTCGCAGGTAAACAGCGGCTCGCCTCTCGCCAATAAAGCACCGCATACCAATCAAAACTAATGGAAGCGCACACAAGGCTTATTGTTACTCTGTACTGGCCGTCGTGGAGCGATAGCAATTACCTAATTTCAGACCCAGAGTGAATTTGACGTGCACTCTAAAACGTGTCCGGTTTGGAGCCACCTCTGATTTGAACTTTTTTGAAGCGAAAAATTGGGCAACTTGGAGGCAATGGGTCAACACAAAGGAGTGGCTCAGTTCGATTGACTCTGGCCCCAGAGCAAACTTCAACATGCCAGTTTCCTTCCACAAACATATTTCGAGTGAAAAATCAACGCTGATGATCGGTTTGGGTCTATACAAATTTGGCTGTCAAAGCGTCCCAGTATCGAGCCGTCCCCTCTACAGTATGTACTAGATCTGCAGGTTGGCATGACCACTTACATAACTTTTTAGAGAGAGAAGAGAGAGAGAGAGAGAGAGAGAGAGAGAGAGAGAGAGAGAGAGAGAGAGAGAGAGAGAGAGAGAGAGAGAGAGAGAGAGAGAGAGAGAGAGAGAGAGGAGGGGAAAGGGGGAAGAGGGGAGGGGAGAGTGGGGAGAGAGGGCAGGGGGGAGGAGAGAGAGGGGAGGTGGAGGAGAGAGGAGGTGGAGGAGAGAGGAGGTGGAGGAGAGAGAGGGGAGGTGGAGGGGGAGAGATGGAGGAGGGAGAGGAGAGGGGGAGGGGAGAGAGGGGAGGGGGAGGAGAGAGAGGGGAGGGGGGGGGGGAGAGGGGAGGGGGGATGCGGAAGGGCAGCACAAATAAAAAATATATGGTGGGTAGGTAGGAACTTGGTGAAATAGGTGAAAATTCGGGCTAAAGATGATGATGGCGGGGCAACTGGTTCTCCACTCTCTCCTGGTGCAACCTGACGTCGAGTTCCGGAGAAGTGAGGAACATGACGCGATTGCTAACACACACACTAACACACACACACGCACGCACACACACACACACACACACACACACACACACACACACACACACACACACACACACATACACGCGACCGCGTAGCAAAACGATTGCACCGTGTCTCTACTGAAAAGTGCGTTCGTTTGAAAACTGATGTCATCGACAGTTCTCATTCATCTCATTGATCAATTTGATGGCCACACAGGTGTCATGGAGCATTGGCAGGTGCACAGACCGCCAGCTATCTGTACGTTGTTTTCAACGTTGACAGCCGCCTGTCCAACAGCGCACAACCTGTCAACACGAATTGCAACACTACACTGAACAACAGCTTGCTCAATCAGCTGATGACACGGTGATGGATAGTTGACTGAATGGAGAGTAAAGAGCATCTCCAGCCACCTATCAGAGGACGAAACATGCAACGTTCGTACCAAAAACAATGCGTCAAAAAAGATTCATTTTTCATCTCTGGAATCATGTGGCGGTTAGAGGTTTATTCTTTCTTGTCTGTGCGTACATATTTTGAATGTCACCATCTGTTGGTATGAGGCCATTCAGCCACGGCAGTCCGGAGAGGGGATTCAGGAGGATTGATTTCAAGAGGGCATGTCTAGGTTAACAGAACCGACCCCCCCCCCCCCCCCCTCCACACACACACATACACCATGTACACACACACACACACACACACACACACACACACACACACACACACACACACACACACACACACACACACACACACACACACATACACACATACACACACACACATACGCACACATGTGCCACTGACCATCTTGCGCAGACTTCAGGAATCCCCGCGCCTGCTCCGTCGTCTCGTCGGGGAAGAAGCCAATGATGGCCACACTGCGATCGCCGACAAACGTCTTGGCAGCATCCACGTCAGGCAGAGCAACGGCAGGTGGTCCCGTTCTCTTGCTTAGCCAGGCAATGATAGACTTGGATGTACGGCCACCTAGCCGTCAGACACAAACAACAACACCAACAACACCAACACGCACACGCACACACGCACGCGCGCACACACACACACACGCACGCACACACACACACAAACACAAACACAAGCAACACCACCAACACACACACAAACACAATGATGAGTTTCAAATTATATTCGTGTGCCTATAGTCAATCTCATGTACTACTAAGGCAACACTGCCTGTTTGTTCTTCGACTCTAAATAAACCAATCCAATCCAAATGTGTGCCCTCTGCCTGTAGCATGTGTTGTATAGATAAGAAAGAGAAGAATAATTCACGGATCTGTCCGCCGTATGGATTTTGTATCAGTTTGCTGATTCGACTTATCTTCTACTTCGAAGTAGCAACATCCAGCAATGGCTCTCTAAGTGAAGATTTATGCGTAGAACGATCCTCATCACTATGGCAACTGTTCTGCACAGTGCTGCTACTCCACCGAACATGCACTGCAGCAGAATCCTGGTCCAATGACTACACACACTGAACTGTAACTTATAGCTATTGCATTGAAGTGTTTCTGTGCGACAGGCCAGAGAGTGAGTAGCAATGGCACACATGTTTGTGTACTGCAGGGTGCAGGCAAAGTAGCTTCCCTACGCTAGACAAACAGGGAGTATTGCCTTGGTCCCTACACATGTTACAGTGTGTATGAGTGCACATATGGTGTCATGCATAGGGTGTATCGTGCTGCATAGGGTGCAGTATTCGCATATCATTTGCAGTAGGGTTAGCAGACAAAATCCGTATGCTACAATGCACAGGTGCAGGATTTCATGAAGAGAGTGCTACAGGAAGTGCAATACATGACTGTACAATCATGATTGTACAGTCATGTATGTCTACATAATGGCACAGGCGGTGCTGCTGCAGCTGTGCCACGTGGCACTCCTCCTGCCATGATGGAGTGCAATACACAGTGCTGCCAACACACCCAGACTCCACTGCGCAGAGCGCTACTGTTTGGAACAGTACTTATGTTTCAACCTACACCACTGAGAAGTAAGCGGCCTGCTAGCATGCTGCAGGAGGGAATGATGTATCTCTACTAACTTTCTAGCCTTTTCTTGTTTGCAACAATGATTTTGTGAGCAACTACACACAAGTGGACAAAAATCCAGTACAAGAAAACATTGACGCTAAAAAAATGTCGAGAAACGCTACTGATCGCTTGATCTCTACGTGACAACTGACAAAGCCTCATTCAATCGACATGGCATGGCATGGCGAAGAACCAGCAGTAGCGGTAAACTTGGTAAGAGCGACTCTCAATCTCAGGCCGTGATGATTTCTGATGTTGCTTTCAGCCTTTCACACAACATTGTCATCGCTCACCACCCAGTTCTACCTCGCAGAAGCAGGCAGGAAATCGACGCCGCCCGGTGGGTAACTGACCGAGTACACGGGGCGTCACACCGTCGAACAATGGGGTGTCTTTACGACTACATGTAATCACAGGAATCAGTTTGTGCACAGATTTCATGGATTCGCCCGGAGAAGTGGCAACCGCCGTACCGGTCGACAGTGCTGCAAATAACATCACGTTAGTTAGTGAAATAGACGACTCCAGATTCAGTGTTACTAAAATTCTAAAACCTCGACATGTTCCCCTGCTCTACTCACCTGAATACTCCGTTTCTTCGCCACTGCTGAAGAATTTGATCGTCGGATATCCTTTCAAACTGAATCGCTCCACCGCCTTCTTGTGCGCAGTTCCGTCCAACTTGGCCAGGCGAATGGCACTCCCCTCTTCTCGCAGCTTCTTCGCAGCGGCTTCATACTCCGGTTCCAGCGCCTTGCAGTGCCCGCACCATGGGGCATCTAGGAACATGTACACGCACACGCAAGGTCAAATACAAACGCGTGAACGCGTGGACATACACGTCCGCACAAACAATAATACAATCATACGCAACAGAGGACCACTGTTACACTAGAAGTTTCAGAACACCTTGTGCAGCATACCACTTCTGCGCCTGTTCCCTCGCACACTGATGAAGCAGGGTGCGTCGTAAAAAACAAATCCGCAACAACAAAAAACTAAAAAAAGGCAGCCGAATGAACAAGCTGTGACGACGGAAATAGCACGCCCAAAACACGGAGCACAAAAATGAGCATTCTCAAAATGTCATGGTCCAGCCTGCATGCAACGCAGGTGCGCGGCAAGCAGCGTGAGAGAGGATAGACTTACAGAACTCTACCAGTATATTCTCATTGTCCTTGATGGCCTCGTCAAAATTCTCGTCCGTCAAAACGAGCACATCACTAATTATTTCTGGCTCGGCTGCTGTCTCTGCTTCGCCTTCACTTAGCGAGCCGTGGAAGCACACTAACAGGACGACCAGAGACAAGAGAAGACGATAGCTGCTTGCCATTTCTAAAAAATTGATCTAACGAACTGCCTGATCAATGCAAGAACTGGCTATTCTGACCTACGCTTTTCAGCGCTGAGAACAATGCATCTAGCCAGGAAATACCCAGGAGGACTTCATTCGTGGAAGGTTCTCATTGGGGGCGCTAGCAACACAAATCGATCGAGCCTTCTTTTGCCTAGCTTGTCGAGTACGCGTAGATTTACGGAGTCTAGTTGGGCTGCCATGTCATACACGTCAGCAGCTAGCTACTTCTGTCAAGTGTCTGTGCCGTGAGTCGTGACCTTGTGAAGCTTGTTGGTCTATCTGTATCGAGAGTGCGACTATCAGTGACTGTGTATCACCACACAAGACACCAGCGGAACGGCCAAAACAAGTCATAATTTTTCAGTGCGACTACAAAAGTATGCACACGATTTACAAGTCAGGCGGCACGTTTGACAGGTCGAATTCTCGAAGTAAAGTTTTCGGCTCACGCGACGCCTGCTTTACTTCTTGCTAGCATGCACACAGTCCAATGTAGAATTAGTAATGGCTAATGCTACTAGTATTTCCAGATAATTATTATGGCTAGGCTGCTACCATGGCCACTGCCACCAAGCCGTATTTCTGTTCCGAAAGCCTGTTTTCGGAACTCCACAATAACAGACTGTACTGTCCAACCGTCCAGATCCCCTGAGCGGTGCGCTCACATCGCAAAGACCCAACACGGCCGGGATGGTAAAACTACGAAACAGAGGCTGCTAGAATGTGAACCCACAGCTCAGGGGGTCGGATTTCAGTTGCCAGCACTGTACAATGCAGGACCGCCGGAACGGGTCCGGTTCGTCAGCCTTCATCATGGCTTCACTTCAGGTCAGGGAGTCGTGCAATACCGGTATTTTACGACTCCCTGCTTCAGGTTATTCCGGACCAACATTTTAGCCATCAACACAATAATTTTGCTGCTAATGCTATGTCATGTTGTGCAATCGATCCTCACTTCTACTGTCAGGAACTGTACACTGTACAATTATATATTTTGCTTTCGCCGAAGTTAGTTCGGTGGCAGATGCTTTGACTAAAAAGTAAAAACTGACTTTGTCCTCCAGAGAAACCGTCCTATCCTGCCTTATTTTACTGGGCATACGTTGTAGGCAGAGAAACGGCCGGCAGGGTAGTGGAATGTTCTTATCGCACTACGGTACTACTCCATGGGTGCATGTCGATCAGGCCATCTCCGGATTTCAGTCAAATATTACATTTTTGAAATGGAAGGTTCGCTCCAGTCTAGGACTCAGGAAGAATCCAAAATTTAATATCCAAAGTAAAGCTCGCACATCCGCGTTTCCACCGGATGCACTCTGTAGAAACGTGGACATGTCGACAGTGCAGGGCCCACAGGTCAGGGAAGTAGATAGTTTCGCTCAACGTGCCAATCCGCCACCAATCATGATGCCTGGGACAAGTGGCAGATGCAGCGCCTAGCGGCGGGAGAGGTTCGCCCCCTAGCCCAATGCCGACAATGGGGCACTTGGTTGTGAGAGATTTCCCGCAGCAAGTCATCACTCTCTGGAAGAAGGCAGTGCTGAAAACAAAGTGAGACTATTAATAGTATTTACCAAGAGTATAACCAGGGGCAGGGGATATAATAATACTCTTGGTATGAGTATAGATCTAGAGTACTCAGTGCAGTGGCCACTGGGTCTGCCCTAGCTAGCTGTATATCTTTGACTGAAGTACACCTGAGGGTGTAGACAGTGCATTTCAACTACACGTATTTGCAAAGGGAGCTGAGCATTATCATGATGAATAGTAGCGAAATGCCAGTACATGGTGATTGCACGGCTTGAGTGAAGTGGTGCCAGCAGCCATGGGGCCCAAACTGCCCACCAAAGCCCTCAGCACTGCACTGAGTCAGCCTGAGTCTGATCTGAGCTGAGCACAATTCAGGGCTTCTTATCTGAGCTGATTCAGCGATCTTAGTCTCAGCCAGGGAGTAGTACAATACTACTCCCTGGTCTCAGCTGTGCTTTCCATGGGTCGTAAACACTCTCCAACCCAGACATGCAGATTCTGAAAACTGAGCTGTACTGGTAATAATTATTTATTTATTCATATTTTAATAGGGCACGAAGTCGATCTAGTACATGTACATGCACCACATGATTGCAGTGTCCATGCCATCATTAGGGTCCCGCGGATTCTGCCTGCAGAAAATGATTGGCAGAATTCGAAATTTTTTGTGGTAAGTTTCATACATGTTTGGTATGTGGATAAAAAAAATGGAGCAGAATTCGAGGAATTGCTCGCCATAAGGTTTGTATGGTTCTGCCAATTTCACTGCTTTTCGAGCAGAATCTGCCACCTTTTCGAGCAGAATCCGCCGGTCCCTAGGGCCCATCATCATCAGGGAGCAGTATTACTATTGTACTAATCCCTGATGATCACGGTCCAAAAGAAAAGGGCAGGCTGTCATGCAGGTCAGCTAAGGACTTACGTGTAGGTGCTCAGGGCGTAGAACCCCAGACCGACCCCCACATCTCACTGTTCTGTACATTTCACCGGGGGGGGGGGGGGGGGGGGGGGAGGGTCCAGAAACAAGAGCAGCGAAACTTCAGCACAGCGTACGTCCAAGGGACGTAACAATCTGTACTTTTTTTTAAAGTCAATAGCCAAGGCATTCCCAACTCGTCACAACCACGCGCTCTCAGCCGAACAATAAATACACCAGCAACACAGGGAAATTGCACCATCATAATTACGAACAACATGTACGGTACTTTCCAGTGGCATCATTATTCTCGCTTTATTGCAATCAGTTGTAGGGTCATTCCCGCGTAGGATTTGCGTCATCTGTGTGGTGTGTTCCTCCACCAATGAGCGCGTACAATAGTTCTTCTCGCTGTTCTCCCATTTACCATTAATTTTTTAGCAGCTTGCATAATGGCATTGTTCTATGTGGAAAACGCGCACTTGCGCCATTTTTGTTGTATAAGAATGATCGTTCCTTTACACTCCATTATCATCATTATTATCCTCTACTGATGAGCTCCGGCAGGGAGCGAAACAGCTGTCTAGAGGCGTGGAAAATATTATCTCTCAACGGAAGTGTCCTTGCTGTTGTCTTTATGGTTCGGCTGAGAGCGTGTGGTTGTGACGAGTTGGGAATGCAATAAATTGGAAATATGGCCGAAACCTCTGTCGCAATATTTAGTTGAATAGCCGAGGCAAATGACGGTATTGTATGACGCAGGGTAGACCTTGACGGACAATGCCGGCAGGAGAATTGGCAGAATTTAGCACTCTTTCCGGTATGTTCAAGTCATGCTTGTTTGGTATGCGGATAAAGAACTGGAGCAGGATTCAAGGAAGTGCTTGCCACAAGGTTTGTATGGTTCTATCAATTTCACTGCGTTTCGAGCAGAAACTGGCGGTTTTTCATCCGCCAAGGACTAAAGCAGGGTCTTGCAAAATAGTACTGTAATTTCACAAATTTCCGGTGTACTTTTATTTTCAGTACGTTCGGTGCTTCTGTTTCATACGTTCGGTGCTTCTGTTTCATACGTAAAATTTCTGTTCACCAAACCTGGCCTTTTGCTCTCAAGCCAAAAATATTGAGCACCTAAAATTTCTGAAAGTTAGGCCTTGGCGGATAATGCTCGAAAAGGTGGCAGATTCTGCTCGAAAAGCAGTGAAATTGGCAGAACCATACAAACCTTATGGCGGGCAATTCCTCGAATTCTGCTCCATTTTTTTATCCACATACCAAACATGCATGAAACGTACCAGAAAAAGTACCGAATTCTGCCAATTTTTCTGCCGGCATTATCCGCCAAGGCCTAGAGTACATGTGCTTTATAATTATCACATACAATCAAGGAGTCGTAATTTTACGACTCCCTGCATACAATTATTACATAGTACCCCATGGCGGATAATGCTCGAAAAGTTGGCAGATTCTGCTCGGAAAGAAGTGAAATGGGCAGAATCCGTACAAATTGGCGGTTGTTATCACTTAGAAATCAATAAGAGAACAATTCAGGGACTTTTTTTAGGAAACTTCACTTCTCAACTCCGAACTCCAAAAAACAGTCTCTTCATTGCAATTCAAATTTTAATTAGGCCATGGTAAAAATTATCTTTGATTCTCAAGCACGCGCGCACCGATTTTTGGCGGCGCACCGGCGATTTTTTATTTCTATGCATGCATATGCTCGCATGAAAACGGTCAATGCGAAAGGCATGAATCAGGGAGTAGTAAAATACCGGTATTTTTCTACTCCCTGGCCTGAATAAAAAAATATTTATATGAACCTGTGACGTACATACATGTATGTGTGACCCTATCTTTGGAAATTAAAAAAATTGTGGGAAATAAAATAAAAAATCGCTCGCTCGCACCGATTTTCACAGGCTCATGACCTGAGAATCAACTTTATTTTTTAGCATGGCCTTACAACAAATTTTCGGGCCATTTTGGAGTTGAGAAGTGAAGTTTCCTAAAATGCGTAAGTGGCTGTGTTGGAGTTTGCGGACAATAACAAAAATTCAGGAACTGCCCGAGAAATATCGTGAAGAAAAGCTCACAGCAAATACTGCATTATCCGGCTGCTTGAAAGGTGTAATGTTGCAGTTGCCACTGTTGTTGGTTTGAGGGTTCATATTCTACTTTCTATTTGAATGGATGCAGTGAATTGGATTTTCGGTCTTTGACCACTTGCTGGTGATCTCGAGCTGATCTACTCATCTCCCACCGCTTTAGGAGCTGCATATGCACCTACATGTAGATCCTTGAAGGCTGGTGGCGTTCCTTCAGATGTGAAAGACCCGACCTCTAGCCAGGTCTGACGCGAACCGTGAAATATTGAAATTAAAATTTGAAGTCTCAGAGGGTCTAGACTTTTGAAATGCACTGTAACATGTTTCCGGGGACGAGCTGGACCAGTGTACCCCCCCCCCCCCTCATTCCAGTGTGAAAGTGGGGGTCTTGCACGCCTGCCAGGAAATGAACAATTGCGGTACAAGTACGGTTCCTATCCTGTCCCCGGGGAAAATTGCGATTCCGCGGCCGCGTTTTTTCTGCGTTTTTTGCGATTTTTTAAAGATCGCGTTTTCCGCGATTTTTGAACTTTTTTGTTGCACTACACGTACACACAGTGCACTGTTCGGTCAGCAACGTCTCATCGTGGCGGCTTTTTACTCAAATATGACGAGTGCTTACACTAGAGACTTGTAACTGCTTGATTTCACTACATACTCACTGAAAGTTGCCGCACATCAATATTATTCACCGCATATTCACCGCAAATTATGCCATATTATGCCGCGTTTCCCCCCCCCCGCGTTTTTTTTGCGATCAGTCCCAGGCTGTGCCGGTATACATACGTCAGGTAGTCGTAAAATACCATAATTATTTTACGACTCCCTGGTACTGTAAAGCGATAAACTTTCGCGACGTGCAAATGTTGCGTTTTCATGAATTGGGCTGGTTCACGGTGAGAAACACGATTGTATCTCTTCAGTTGGACCTCATACTGTCTACAGTCAATTAATGTACAGAGCAGTTTGCGGCGATTTATATTCGTGAATATGGGATGGTCATGAAAATAGCGAAATTTATTCTCCAGCGAAAGTTTCTCACGTTATAGTACTAGTAGTATACGTTGCGTGCATAATTTACTGATTGATGGGTTCAATAGCATGGCTTTGGTACCGGGAACTGTGACACAGTGTAAACCTGTGCAAGAGTCTCATCAAGCTGCGCCTCGACCCACACACGAGGCATGAAGAGGGCACTTTTCTGCACAAGTCAAAAACACAGGTGCAGTGCAGTGCGAGTTTGGCCTTTCAAGAAAAAGACGTGGAAGTGCTAACTCCCGCAAAGGTGGAAATGCAACAATTTGCTGGAAACTAATGCGGCTATTACAATAATATACACAGTATGTGTTCTGCTAAGCGGGCATACATAATTTGCATCTCTCTGGTGTACAGTTCAAGCTCCATGCCTTTGGTGTGTCCGTGTGATAGATAGATAGAGAGAGAGAGAGAGAGAGAGAGAATGATCACGCAAACAACCACTCACCTCTACAACAGCTTGGCCGCGTTCTCGTCAGAGCCCAGTCACGTGGACACACGAATACGCGTTGGACACAAGCAATGCCATAGCCATACATGCTAACATCACATGCATCACTACAGCATTGCTTCTCTCTATCACTACAATACAAGACAAGACAATAATGCCCATCCGCAGATGATGGCAGGTCCTGAACGGGCCGACAGTGTTTCAGTCACGGAGAACAGAACATCGAATGGCGAGTAAGGTCCTGGCGATGGCGAACAATTCGACCGTAATGGCAACTGGAGTGCCAAAACACAGGCTTGGTTAGGCTGCTCAATCACTATGACCAAGAGTAGATAAACAAGAGTGTGCAACTCCGCATCTCTTCTGCACAATCCGCAGATACCCCGGCCCATAGCAGAAATTTCTGTTGACGTCACCTTTTTCAGAAGCACGTGCATTTCGTCGCAGAGCAGTGTGAGAGCACGTGCTGGGCACCAACCAAGCAAGTGCGCGGGGCAAAACTTCCCAAAAGACCCGCAGCCCGCGCGTCGTAGAAAAGATTACGTCAGCAAAAATTTCCGCCGTGGGCAAACCCATCCGGGAGTTGCACACTCTTGTTTATCTACGTTTGCTATGACACTAAGCACAATGCACACTCGTCACTGCGGTGCTGCGAATTGAAATGACTTTGAGCAGGTGGAAACCAACAGGCCCCAGCATTGGTCACATGTTTGGACATCAGTCCTGCACGGTGTACCACATCAGACCATATTCACACGCCGAGTTGGCGCGTCTATTATTAGATCGGTCTTCTGTGCATTGTGGAGTATGCCTGCTGTGGAGTGGTGCCTGAACAACAGGCATACTACGCAATGCACACAGGACCAATCTAAAAATAGACGGGCCGACTCGGCAGACGACCTCTTGACATGCACGCGTACAAGTGAACATAGCCTGATGAGGTGGTGTAGGACTGATGTCCAAACACACTCAGCTGCCTATAGCACTGGGCCCAGTGCAATGGATACAGTAGTGCTGCGGCCCCAAGAGCGTTGTTTCCAAGAGGTTAGCCTGGGATGTTCATGACAGACTTCATTCAGCATGGATCAATGCACCCACCATGCCGTGGACATTGGCCGTACCAAGCAAGATTATGACTAAGAGTACGTACACTAAATTCCACCGTATGTTGTCACAAATCCAGAAAACTAGGAAATGGTATAGAGAAACGCTGACACCACTGGGCAGTGAGCCAGGGACCTTTGCGTCCACGATCGATGACAAAACTAGTTCGCTCCGCAACCGGGCTGATATTTTGCTCAATGCACAGCCGCAGCGAGATCGATCATGCTTACAGGCAAGACATGCTCAATCACGATCACATGAACACGCGTTCGCGCACACACACACGGCACATTGACCCTACCGTGCACGACGGCAGGTTTGTGCACCCCATCCGTCTGTTCCCCCCAGAAGTCCAGTACTGGCAGTGGTCACCCATGCCTACATGATCCTCACAGCACACCCCACGCTCCGTACTGCTAAGATACTGGATATCATGTAATTTTAGGTGTATTTAAATTTCAGTACCAGGGACCTGCCAGGTTTCAGGTGTAAAGTAGAATTAGGTGACCAGCCTACCATTCATATACAGTGCATACTCTAGTGCCTTTTAGGTGTAATCCAAATTTAGGTGCCTGGATTCTCTACCGAAATTAAAATTACACCGAAAATAACGAGTTATACAGTACGCGACCATCACTGCACTCCAACACCACTGCTAAGACAAGACTTCTGAACGTTACTATACTTGTTACATTTGCCACTGGCTCGCACACCAATGTCAAAGCCACACGCGCATCAGTACCTAACCTCTAATACTCAGTGTCTGCCATGAAAATGATGCGCCTACAGACTACACCTTAGTCTTGAGAGCACTCTGCAGACCTGCCATTGTTTGTTGGCAACAGTCCAGTGTTGTTGAATACGCCCATAGTACAGCCCACCACCACCGCCATCACTCAACCACCCCGCTGCCTACAATACACAATTATTTGGTCCAACTCGCAAATAGCAAGTCGCTTGAGTGACGCCAATCAACTATATTTTTTGTTCACACTCCACCCACGAACAGGTTATAACTTATAACTAATTACTTACGACAATGTAACGGCGGGTGTTATTGCTACTATACGTGCTATGCATCGCCCTTTACGCCAGCGCTAGTGTGGGAATGAGGAATACCAGTTCACGAAACACAGGCCTCCAGGAAAACCTACAATTTTAGCGCCGTGACGTTGACACAGGCATAACCTTCTTCAGCACCCATCACATTTTGACCCTATTTTGAGTTTTTTTACGGAGGATAAGAATCGGCCCAGGCAGCGATAACGTCAACGCTAACACCACAGCAAGCTTACACAGCTTTATCGCCAAAGCCTTCCACCTGCATCATGTCAGCGTGCACAAACTGGATCAAACAAAAGCCGACACATCCTTCTACATAAGACTTTTGAAAAATAATAGTTTCCCTCAGCTGGTGATTTCAAATAAGAACACCAAAATGTGGAGAG